GAAAAATGCTACGAAGCACAAGACTAGAGATTGAGGACTTAAAACTCAGGGCTTTACAGAGCAAGTAAGAATTAGGTTTTCTATAGTTAATTTTAAAATTATTTTTATTTCAGAGGAAGAAGAAATTATTAGTATGATTACTGACTACAATAATAGCTAGTGTATTTTTAATAATTAGGTTTAGAAGAAAGAAATAAGGCTTTGGAGAAAGATTCACAAAGAAAATCAGGTCAGTACATAATTAATTCTGCTTCTTTTAATTTGTACATTAATAGTACTGATTGAGATGGTATTTCAACAGTTAACTGAAGCAAAATCAGAAATTAAAACTCTTCAAGAAAAGTTAAGGATGGAAACAGAAAGAAATATTAGACGTGTGTTGATATAGTGTTATTATACTCTTAAGTAATATTGTCCTTTTAGTTGATACATTCAGAGAGGAAACAATATCACTAGAGAGAGAATATTATCCCCATACAGGTTTGTATTTTGTGATAATAGAAAAAATTTGTTATCTTTGTCTTGCTTATAGAAAATATTTCTGTGTCTGATTCTGAAATTACTCTAACAGCCCCTTGTCTTAAAACATGCAAAGAAATTCAAATTCCAGAGACTGCCCAATTAATATCATTGCATGATGCTTTTGCTGATTCTGCTTCTGCAATTTTGTTACGACTACAAATGACATCAATAGCATATCTGTGCATCAACAGGACACCTTTATCTTATGACAGTGTGCATTCTATCGTTGATGTACTGCAAAAGCTTAAGGCTCTTCGACTTAGCAATGTCTGTCTTCCTCCTACCAGTTTGAGCTACATCCTCAATGCCTTGTTAACCAATGAGTCACTACAAGAATTCACCATTCAATTTGATGACCAAATGATGCTGCCTCTCTCCTCCGCAAGTGCTGGTTTTTATGCACAAGCTATTTCTAATATTATTCGAAGCAATTCAACTTTACAGTACATATCTATTCTTGGCCTTAGACTTGGTGAAGCTGGGGTGGGGAAAATTTTACTTGCTCTTGCAAAGGACAACAAGACTCTTCGACTGCTCACCCTAGACCTGTCTCATCAAGACACTGCTTACAGATTTGCTGAAGCTAATGGCCCCATTAAAGACAGACTGAGTTTTTCTTAACTGGAAACTTTTGCTTTTGATGATACTGACTATTTTTTTAGTATAATAGATCTAGCTTAGCAACTTTTTGATGTTGTATGTTATTAGTATAGCTACTATTAGAATTTTTGTTGCTGTGTGACACTTTATTTTATAAAAGCTGCTATTAGACTTTTTGACGCTGTGTGTATCTTTATAATTGCTTTTACTTAATATAGTATTTTCTTAAGTTAGTTCAAATTTCCGTTATCAGTTTCTTTAGTGAATAGCAGTGGTATTGAACCTTACTACAAGTATTTTATCACCATTACTTCCTAAATAGAGGGGAGTATCCCTTTAAAAACAGTCATGTGAATGCTTTTACAATTCACAATCAAAGTTATCTTAAGTTTATCAATAACACAGAGTGAATTAAAATTCATTTGCTCATTTGACTGTTTATACAAAAATACCAACTAAAACAACAAACATAATTTACTATGTTACTATTTTTAGTATACTACTATTCTTTTATTAAAATAGTCACAAATGTAATAAGAGTCCATTGCAGTCAAAGTCGATTCCCTCAGCTCAACACATTTAAGACAATAATCAGGATTACTGACATGATGACTAAATCGATTGATAAAGTGACCCTCAGTGTCAAACACAGCCACAGCATGAGTACCTTTCTCTGTGACATATAAATGATTCTTGTGGCTGATAGTTATACCAGCAGGGGATAATAAAGTCCCTTCTCCCATTTTGCCAAACTCCATTACGAACCTCCTTTGGACATACACTTTTGAATGCGGTCACTTTTAGAATCAACAACGTCTTGTCACTGTCAATAGCTAAAACCCAAGGTTCGTCAAACTGGCCCTCACCAGATCCTTTGCTCCCAAACACA